AATAAGGAAATATTTTTTGGGATCTTTAATAAAAGTTTACCTAGTTTGGGTCTTTTTACTCATTTTTGGAGTTTAGGATAAGTTTACTTATCCAAGAACTAGGTATGTCCGAACGGGTCCGCTCGGCCTAGCCCGGGCTCGGATTTTCGGGCTGGGCCGGGCATGGGGAGTACCCGGACCCGGTGGGTCCGGACCGGACACCGAGTCGACCCGTAAGTTTTTCGTTTTTTTTAAATTAGTTTTTTGGGAATTTTTTAAGAGTAATTAAAAATAAAATATACGAAATTTTGATAAAAAATCAATCATACTATTAAGCATTTATAATTATAGAACTTACAAATATAAATATCATACAAATAAAATGATAAAAAAAGTCTTTGTTATTAATCACTAACAATTGTAATTTTTTTTGGAATTTATCACATCACAATAGATGAATACATCCCAACTAGGTTGGCACATACTCATCCATATCACTATCATTTGTAACTTTTTTCAAAATAAAAATTTAAAGCTAAGAAAAAAAAATTACAAACTAATTAATAATTTCTACTCTCTAATCTTTATCTCTTTCTCCTAATGTCAACCCATCAAGTCTATCTTTAATACTAGTCATTGTTAGCCCTTATGTTTTGATGATGTTTTACAACCACCATTATCGGTACTAATGGCCTATTGAGTGCAAATGCAGTAAATTCATTTATCAAGCTTGTTAGTGCCATTAATGGAGGATGGATGGAATATATGCTAAAACGATAATATCCTAAGAAGGAGGAGGCATAATGATGAAGCAATGTTAATTCAAGAACAACAAATCCATAAAGAAGCTTCATCAAACTTAAAGCTATCAAGACTCAAGAACTATATTCTATGTGAGGATATTAGCTTGTTTTCTATTTTCTCTCTAGTGCTAGAATGTAGGCAAAGAGTTACTGATTTCACTTGAAGCTATTGGGAATCACACACACGTTTTCATACTTATGTTTTTAAGCGTTTTTCACAAAATACTATTTTTCATAAGTATGAGGACCTATCTGCAAAATTCTTTTTCCAAACAGTTTTTTTTAAGTATTAAAAACATTTTACAAAGTTTCATAATTTTCAGAGGTCAAATAAATATTTTACAAATATTTTAGTTTGAGTCAAAAAATCAGTCTGTGCAAATGTATCAGAATGCGGTCGACCGGACCGGTCGACCGCACCTATGAGCATTCGTCACTGGACTCCAGAGAGTTTGTCGGTCGACCGGCGCGGTCGACCGAAAGCTCAAATTTTTGGTCGGTCGACCGCGCCGGTCGACCGATGAAGTCTCTGTTTGTTTTAACCTTTCAATTGCAACCACAGCAACAGCAGCCACAGCAACAAGCACCCCAACAATCTCGAGGACAATGGCAACAACGGCCTCAGAAGCAGAAATCTGCGGAGCCGAGGTTTCCTAAAGTGTACTCCTTCAAGGATGATGAAGTTCCCGGCATCTTCAAATACCTGTTGGAGAACAACAAGATCCAGTTGCCGGCGATCGTGGATCAAGAAGGGGCCAGCAAAGTGACGGATCCAAAGTACTGCGCGTACCACAGAGCGGTCCACCACCCTACGAGATCATGCTACCACCTCAAGGACAAGATCCAGGCGTTAATCGACGTAGGAGTCATAACCCCGAAACCAGCCAAGAATGTGGGGGCCAACGCAGTGTCAATCAGTTTTGGGTCGGTGCCTACAACTTGGTTCGAGCCAAAACGCGTCACCAAAGTCGGGATGAAGACGGTGAATGACGATCCGCACGGACAGCGCCAAAAGGGACTTGTGCCGCACACAACCCCAAATGGCGAAATCCTTTGGGTTCATCCAGATCTGATTGGAGATGAACAATGGGCCGGTTCGTCATCCGGGAGGAAGTCTAAAGGAAAAGGGAAGTCTTGTTATGGAGTCTCTGCTATCCCAGGGGAAGATGACGAAAGAATCTCCACTTTCCTGCTCTCTGAAGAAGAACAAGAAGCTTTTGCGACACGGAGCGGAAATGAATACCACTACAATTATCCGCCACCTAGTGAGCAGGGGGTGAACAAGCGGGGACCAGCCAAAACTCTCACGGAGATGGGAGTGATTGCAAGTCCCACACCGGGTAAAGAAGCTCTACGACAACCGGTGAATAAACCAAAAGAGAAGAATCCCCAAGAGGTACAGAATCCGAAGCAGTCTCGTTTCAGTCGTCCAATTGGAAGAGACAAACCGGAAAGCTCGAAGACTCCGCATAGCTTCGACATTATGGCGCAATTAGCCAACATTCCTGCACGGATAACGCTGTATGAGTTGCTGCGATTATCCAAAGAAACCAGGGAGGCCCTACAAGAAGCTTTGGCCAATGCAGAGGTATTTCTGACTCAAGTCAAGCCGATACCTGAACAGCCAGAACCGCTGAGTCAACAGTGCAACATAGCGACTAAGAACCTTCCCTGCATTACTTTCACCAAAGAAGATATGCAGACGAAGAATTCGAACCACGATCGGCCGTTATATTTCGTCGGATACATTGGCTCCAGCCAAGTCAACCGAATCCAAGTGGATCCGGGTTCTGCTGTGAGTATTATGCCGCTTCGATTGATGCATTTCCTCGGCATCCCAGTAAGCAAGTTGGCGTCCACAGGCACTGTTATTTATGGATTCAACACTAGTGGGTCAAGACCCTTGGGTAAGATCCGGGTGAAGTGCCAGATGGGAGATCTGAAGACAGAAGTCACGTGTTATGTGATCGATGCGGAGACTTCGTACAACTTACTATTGGGTCGGCCTTGGATCCATAGTAACGTGATAATTCCCTCTACTCTCCATCAGTGTTTGAAGTATGTCGACACTGACAATGAGGTTAGGACGGTGGTCGCGGATAAGCAACCATTCAAGGGGTATGAGAATTATTTCACCGATTCTCTCCTTTATGGTAACGAATCCGATACTGAACCATCGGCCCAGGGCACAGACAGCGGAGAAGAAGCTGATTCTGAAGCCGGATTCGATTACAATGGCGGTTTTGTTTTAAATGACATTGTACCCTTTGTAATCAATCTTGACGATGAACAATCGTCAGATGGAGGTTGTAACTGGCAACTTGCCGATATTGCAATAAAAGATGATTTAGAGTACTCCTTGTCTCTTGATGATGTGATGAAAGGGCTGTATGATAATCCTGAGTTGTATATGCCGATCCGATCATCCTATGTAACGAAGGAACACCTCCAGCATTCTTTCGGAACAACCATGGTCATCCCGAACAAAGTAAGAGGTGCTAAAGAAGTGATTTACGGTAAAGGAAAAAGCTCTCCGTTACCAGATCATTTCCTAAGTGAAGACGAAGATGATGACAAACCTGGTCGACATCTATCCAAGTATAGTCCAGAAGCGCGCAAGCTCATGGAAAAGCAGGGCTACGATTTCACACTCGGAGAAGGTTTATACTTCGATCGAGGTCCTCGTAATCCAGCCAAAGCAGTATATGTACCAAAAGGTAAACCTGAGGATTATTATAAATATGGGCGAGGCTTAGGTTATGTTTCATCAGATGACGAATGTGGTTGGCAAATTATCGATCAAATTGCTAACAAAGCCAAGAAGGGATACTCTCCCGATGCTTCAGAGTGGGACTCCGATACAAGTCTGGGAGAAGTTTTCAAAGCCCTAATGGCAAATAGGGCTACAGCTGATCCATCCACCATGGAAGACGACGATCAAATGCCAACATGGGAAGACCCGTGGGTTCACCATCTGAATATGCAATATGGCGATAGGTTCGAGCAAAGAGAACCACCCACTGAAGATAAAATAGTCCAGATTAACATGGGTGATGAAGCTAACCCAAAGCCTATATTCATCAGCGACAGTCTTCCCCCAGATGAGAAGGAGGAATTGATTGCTCTCATCAGGGAATATATCGACGTCTTCGCATGGAATTATGAAGACATGCCAGGGCTCGACCCCAATGTCGCAATGCACCGCCTCGATATCAAGCCGGATGCCAAACCTGTCAAGCAACAGCAAAGACGGTTTCGTCCGCAGATTATGGAAGCCATTGAGGCAGAGGTTAAGAAGTTGATCGAATCAGGATTTATCCGAGAGGAACAACATCCAGACTGGTTAGCCAACATCGTTCCCGTCATGAAGAAGAATGGCAAAATCAGGATTTGCATCGACTTCAGGAACCTGAATGAAGCATGTCCGAAAGACGATTTCCCTCTCCCGATCACGGATGTCATTATCGACAATACATGTGGATTTGAGAGGATGTCCTTCATGGATGGATTTTCGGGATATAACCAGATCAAGATGCATCCAGAGGATGAGAAGCATACGGCGTTTAGAACACCCCTCGGCGTTTTCTGCTATACGGTGATGCCTTTCGGCCTGAAGAATGCCGGTGCCACATACCAGCGAGCGATGACTAAGATTTTCCAAGAACATCTCAGGAAAACAGTCGAATGCTACGTTGATGATTTGGTTGTGAAAAGCCAACAGTCGAATGTTACGTTGATGATTTGGTTGTGAAAAGCCGCAACAAGGAAGATCACATCAAGGATTTGAAGACAATGTTCGATCTCATGAGGAGTCATCAGTTGAAGATGAACCCCACTAAATCATTTCTTGGAATGTCCAGCGGAAAATTTCTTGGGTTCGTCGTCACCACTAAGGGTATACATATCGATCCTGATAAGGTGAAGGCGATACATGAATTGCAGCCCCCGAGGAATCTGAGAGAACTCAGAGGATTGCAAGGGCGTTTAGCTTATATCCGGCGTTTCATCTCAAATCTTTCTGGGAAGTGCCAACCGTTCTCTAAGCTGAACAAGAAAGGAGTATCATTCATCTGGGATGATGCCTGCCAAAAAGCGTTCGAAGATATCAAAACATATCTGGCGAACCCTCCTGTTCTCGTTGCACCGAAATCTGGTAAACCGTTCTTGATTTATCTCAAGGC